CTTTGTCTAATTCTTTAAAAAATCAGATCAATTAAGTGACTATACAAAATGCCAGGAAAAACTGTGGTTGTCCAAGTTTAAGTTTGAAACCTAAGATGAATGAAGCGATAAAACATTCTAGGTTCTGTATGAGAGACATGGGTGCCTCATATTCATCTTCAACATAGTCAAGTGATCCTGTGTAGTGGAGATCTTAACTAACATAAAAAGACTTAAGTGAAGTGATGCTAAACAAACAAAGTAAGAAATAAATAAAGTTAAAGCAAAATCCAAAGGATAACAACAAAAATAAATGTTTAGAGTGTTTCAGATCAGACTACAGACAACCAGCATGTTAACAAAGATACACACAAGAAATTACTGGTTTTTAGGCCAATAAACACATACTCCAACTGAAGAAAGTGAGCAATGTATAAGAAATAATATGTCAAGTGAACCTATTCAAACAGCACGGTCTACATGTATGACTATCCAGCATATAGACTGATCTACTCCTGGCCCTGTCTGCATTAAAACAGTAAAAGAATAAAGAACGTTATGATGATCAGCTTGTGGTATTTGAATAAGATGAACAATGATGCATCTGATCACACTGTATTGGTTGTACAGATTACTAATTGTGTGCTATGTGATTTTCCTGCACTTATACTATTAAGTCTATTATACCCATACTAGTTATCTTCTCCAGCTAAAACAGGAGGAGCACATTAGTACTGCACTTGGTCTGCTTCATTTCAAGCATACAGTAGAGGTGACAGAGCTGTACTGTATTTCCAGAAATCAGTTTTATATACAGTAGATACTAAAAGGGGTTATGTAATTATATTCCATACATATATATTTAAGACATCTTACAAGATCCACCAACAGTTTCAGGGACCATTTCAGAGGAGGATCAGAGCTCTCCAAGCCTGGAGACGCATTTCCCCTCTCCCAGCCATGATCACACTGACCTTTCTATCTGTGGTCCTTTCCAGGGTTGTCAGGGAAACACATCAGAAGCCATAATTATTCTCAAACTAGGACGCACCTTCCATAAGTTCTCATTGATAGACTAAGTGCTTTTTAAGACCTCTCCATTCATTTATAGATTTTACTCTTCTCTTGGAATTTCTTTCCCCGATTTCCATTTGTTTGGACACTCTTGCTGACCTGCCATGCCAATTCTCACCTGTACAATCTTTTGCTCTCCTGTTCTTTATATGTCCCTGTGCCCTTTGCCTCACATCTAAAGAAGGCTCAAAACCTTCTTGTTTTTTTCCTTTCTATTTTTCAGTATGGGATTAACCTCTGTTTCTTTCTTATATTCAAGATAATGCCTGGTTGTCCTCTGAAATTGTCGCACTTGTTTTCAAGTTGAACTGTTTTTAAGTGATGTACTTAGTCATCCAAAACCAGGACAATCAATAAGAAAATAGAGAAATAAGAAATGGTGAATCTACAACCAATATGACTAGAAATGTTCACTTGAGCTCTTCACTTCCATTTTGTAAGGAATGAGGGGTAGCCTCTCTACGCCGACGAAAAGAGCGCTGGTACATTCTGTTATGCTCAAGGGCAAAATTAAAGATGTATTAAAGACAGCTTTACATGCTTTAGGAATTTCAATCAAAGCTACGATTAAATACTCATTGGACAAGCAATAGGCTACTGCATGGAGTATACACAATAAAAATACAGTCTGCTTCACAAAACTAAGAGTTAATTTTTCATTCATCACCAGTTCTTCCCTACATCCGCAGAGACAGAAACATATTGAAAAAGAATGCTGTACTGAACTTCCACCGATAAAACAAGGGCTGAAACCCTTTGAATCACAAACTCAAGTGTCTCCAAGAAAAAGTCAATTGAATGGATAGGACAGCAACCTGCACAAATTCACAATCTATATTACATGCCCAGGTCTTCTTTCGGGTATCTGTCTATAAGCATCCAGTACACTAAAGCAAGAACCTTTCAGACCATTATGAAGCCACCAACCTCCTGTGCTGGAAAGGCCCTGGATAATGGCCTTGATAAACATGAATTTACAAAAGGAACTATGTGCCTTGAAATACAACCTGCAACAAACCCTATTCATCAGCACCTGTTTTCATGTATCCAACTCTATTACAGGTGTACAGGCGAGTTCTAGTAAACTGCTGCTTTGAGTCCCAAACTCTCACACAAAAGAACTGCAGTAGAGTTATACAATTGCAAACACAGCAAGTGTTGAAATGCTGATATACATTGTATTCTCCTATCCATATACAGTACGAAATGCTTTCAGGGTTGCAGGGCAGGTCTGGAGCCTATCCCTGGCGAACAACGAGGGCAAGGCAGGATGCACCCTGGATGGGGTGCAGGTTCATTGCAGGGTATGCACTGACACAAACATACACACTCACATCAAGGCCAATTTTTCCAGAAGCCAATTAACCTACACATTAATCTGGACTGAGGGGGAAAAAATGGAGCACCCGGAAGACACCTACAAGACCACAGGGAAAACAAACTCTATACAGATGATAGCCCTGGAAATGAATCCAGGGCCCCAGCACTGAGAGACAGCAGTGCTACCCACTACACCACTGTGCTGCCCATCGTGTTCTTCCATATAAAGCTCTCTTCACACCTGGATCCATGTACCCCAATATTCCAACTTACTTAAGAATTAAAAGGAAATGATGCTTTAGTTGAGGTGAGAGCAAAGTTTCTGAAAAGCCTGAAAAATGTCATGGTAGAAGATGGCTACAAGAATATTCTAACCCTCAGGTTTTTATTTTACTTGAGTTCTTGCAAAACTAAAGCCCTGGATCTACACTCCCCCCCTGCATCCTGTAAAACAGGAATAACAGTTTCACTCGAATTTTCCCCTCTATAACCAATAATAAATTGGAATTACTAGTTGTTCCTAATCGACAATACATGTACCACATGGGCAGAATAAGATCAAGCAAGCTCATCACGCTCACTAACCCATTGAAACACCTATCTTTTGACAGGCTGCACACACAGCATCTCACAGGAGAGTGAACGCCACGGGCAGGAGATCCCTGCACTCTCACTGACATCACCCCACAAGTGTGCAGAAGCAACGTCTGGACCACACAAGTCAATCTCCACTCAGTGCAAGCACCTCGTTTCATTTTCACCCCGCAGTTTCAGGAACTCCGACGTGCACATACCTGCGTGAGGACACCCTCTGCCAGGGCCTCCGCTGGACTGGTGGGGGTGGCAGCCGGCAGGAGTGCAGAGTGGCCCATGCCGAGTTCTAGCCGTTCCACTTTGAGGCCCGGCTCAGGCCCAGCGCTGACCCTCTGGGCAGCGGGGGGGCTGGTGCTGAGCCGCTCTTGGCTGGGCATCTCCTCGACCAGCTGCAGAACCTCGGGGTCTTCTTCTGAAGGGCTGCTGGTGGCTTTGGCTCCTGGCCCCCCAATGCCAGCCCGGAAATCCTGCAGGTCCTGCTCACGATCCACCACGACCCATTCCCGCGAGTCCACATCCTGCTGCCCAGAGCTTAAGTTCACGGCCACAAAGCCGCTGCTGGCTGCTCCCTCGCCCTGCTCCGGGGAACCTGGGGAGCCCGGTTTGGACCCACCTGGCAGGAACTCCTCATCATAGTGCCACACCCTCTCAACACGCCCTGCGCTGCCCATCACAGCTGGGTTTCCCTCCTTGTCCTGGGCCAGGCCTCCCTGCTGCTTTCCAGAGCTGTGGACGGAGAGGGAGGGGCAGAGGACAAGTGAGAAGACCAACTAAACAAGAGAACAGAACAGAACTTTAAAAGCTAAATTCCACTGAAATGGAAAAAGAACATATTTAGCATCTGGTGGTTCTGCCAAGAGCAGCAAACTGGGTCTAATCTGGACTCGGTACAGTGAGGTGCTGTGTGACACACACCAGGCTTCGAGGAAGCGCTCCGTGTTGGGTTTGGGCTCCAGGGTCAGCCTCCTCTCCAGCTCGAAGCTGTGGATGGACCGCAGCTTCCTCAGCAGGGGTGGGTTCGACTGGGCCGTCTCCGAGCGCACCCTGACAGGAGACCCTAGGCTGGGCCCGGCATATGGGCTGTGGTTCCCCTGGTTCTGACTGTTTTCCTCCTCAGTCTCTACCTGATCAGAGCAAAACAACCAAGGTGTGTCAGAATATTGATCTGTTCTTAGACTCGCTGAGCAAGACAAGCAATCCAGGTTACTGTCCTTATCTGTACAAGACAATTAAAGATAGGCACTAAAAAGAGTCACATTAAGTGTTAGTCCATTTTTGTGCTTATTAGTGCTGTGAACATTGAAACTAAAGGAAATTTACTCACTTGCATGATGTGTTCAAAATTTCAGTGAAATCAAGAAATGTCAATAACGACTTAATGCACCTGTTCTGGTCTGTGTGCAGCCACCTGTTTGGGTAACTTGTCTCCAAGGTGGCGTTCTCCTGATATTAGGCCCAGAGAGTGCTAGACCCCCTTGGACCTGGCTGCCCTGGAGCGACAGAGGGGCCAGACTCACCTTCCACCCTGCTGTTTTCACCCGGTTGCGGTTCCGGTCCAGCTCCTCCCAGACGTCGGGCTCCTGTGGGCGGCGCGGCAGCCCTGGCGAGCCGGGCAGGGCCTTGTCCAGACCATTCTCCCCGTCACTCAGTTGCTCATCCTGTAGCACCTCATCGGTATTCTCTTTCATGAGGTCTCCTGGCATCAGAGAAGCGTTGGCCATGCTGCAGGAAACCACAGTAACACAGCGTTATTCAACACCACCTTCTTTAAACACCAGGGTAGGTAGACAGTTGTGTATGTAACAGTGTTAATAGAGAGAGAATTCTGTTTGCTGTAGAGCCTAGTTGTACTTGAGTGACACCAGTGTTGTTTTCTCTACCAGCTCTTCCACAGAACACTTTCCGAAACGTATGAGAGGAAATTTCTTGCAGAACTCCAGAGGTAGCTCGTCAAGAAAGAGGATTCTTTAATGCAAGTCTAAACTTTAATATTAAGTCCTCATTGCCATGTATCACAGAAACACAGAAGAGGGAAAAAAAAAGATTGATTAGTTGAAAAAATTACCTGTTTTGCATTATTTATGGTAATTCGTTTAACAAACTCCCATTAATAATTTAGGTGCTTGAGTGCTTTTATGAGTGAGACAAAATTATCAGTAACAGTTCAGAACAGCTCTCCCTATGATCCAATAATTATTATTTTACAACAGCATAATTTTTCAAATGTTTCTTTTATATACCAGACAGCAAGGTTTTGTTGGTGGGTGACAAGTTTCTATTTCAAAGCATATGAACAGCGTGTAGGATGTTTGTTAAAAACACCATTCTTTTAATTTAGTACTCAATTCACAGCACACAGAAATATCAAGTGAAAACTAGTCAGAATCAGCATTTACAGAAGATAAATATCCATATATATTAGTTCTGTAAAGGAGATGTTAACAGTGTACTGCACCTAGAGTACGATGCATGTAACAGGTTCTCAAATGCAAAGAAAAACGAACTCTTCCATATGCTTTCTGAAACCTTTGAAAATTAAGATGTTTTAACATCTGTTATGAAGTACAATGGCAGAGATATCCTTACAAAATATATGAACATTCAGTTGCCACAAGTGGATATACCAATGTATCACACAGTAGATCTTTCTTTTTTTTCCTTACACCACCTTAAACAAATCTAAGTTTTTGGAATGACTGAACTTCAAGGTTTTCTACAGTGACACTGATTCTTTATATTACAAACATTAAATATTTCATCAGTGGAAAGCAGAGAGCAAGCAAAAAATATAGGAGCTGGTTACCAAGGAACAAAGACAGATTAATTCCACACTGAAAAGCTCAAGGAAAGATGAATAAGACAACTTTTTAGTGAAGGCCTCTTAAAGGTGTGCGAGTTTCACTTCTTCTGAGTTATCAAGTTAATCTGATAACAATGCGGCTTGCTGGTGGTCACTAACAGCACAGGATTTATCATGCTGACCGCACTGCCTATTAGTTTCAAATGTGATTGTTATTTGTTATGCTTCTTTTAATATAGTGCCTGGCAAAACAAAAAGTAAACATGTAATCAAATGCATATGACAATTGTTTGATTATATTGTGTGAACATAATGCTGGAGAGCTCAGAAAATTACTCAAATGCACATGGTATGTCTTCTACCACACCACTCCTGCTAAATGAATCACAAAGGAGAGGTACAATTCTTTCAAATCTTCAATTCACTGTAATGATTTCACTTTCACTTGCCAGTAGCCCCCCTGAGTACTGATGTCTTCAGATCCCAGCTGAGGAAAGGCTGCTTCTACAAATCTGTCTCCATTACTACAGCAGTGTCAAAGACAGGACTAGCTCAGTGGAATACTAGTTTCATGAACTGCAATTGTATGGAGGCAAGAGACAAATTATGCCCCTTCAAATACCTTTACAATACAGATCATGAGGAGCCTGTAGAAATTCCTCTATCCTTCCAGCTGCTGTCAGTCTGGGAAGCGACTGGTACATACCCCAGCTGTGCAGGAGTGAGACGGGTGTGCTGCTGAGGTGTGTTAGATGTGGTGGCAATCGTCAGTGTGCCATCCAAGCCAGTCCTCTCCCAGTCATAGGGGTCATTCTCCACCACACCAAAGGTCCTCATGCTGTTCTCAAACACCGACATCAGCAGCTGCACAGACAGAGAACAGCCATTAGGCATGCATTGCCCAGCACTGACACACAAACAGGGCGCATCATCAGTAGAGTATATAAAAGCATAGGAATGTAGGTAGACAGACAGGCAGTAATGTGGAGAAATTGTTAGGGTTCTGGGATCATAATTAGCAGGCTGTGGGTTCATATCCCAGGGGGGACACTGTTGTTGTATCCTTGAGCTTCATCCAATTTGCTCTAGTAAAATGCCCATGATTGGGTGCAAATGTAAGTTTCATTGGATACAAGTGTAAGCAAATTAATTTAGTAATTTGTGATAACTAGATGGGCAGACAGATGCATAAATATACTTTACAGTACTTTAAAAAAAACACAGCACACATGGAATTCTAACCTACAAAGGTCTTGAGGACCCACCTGGTAATCAGGTTTAGTGAAGTAGTCCAGGCTGCAGATGTGATCGAGGAAGATGCTGAACTCTGGAGGAAGATGTTTCAGCATAAGCCTGTGGTCATAGGTTTCTTTCAGCTTACCCACCTGCTCCTGTAAGGGACAGTAAGAACATGGCATCAGTAAATACCAGCATAAGCAATTAAGAACATCATGACAATTACAAACAAGCAAAGTCACTGCACAGGGAACATAGCTTTAGAATAGTGCTTCCTATTTCCAGGACTAACTGCACTTGTTCTTGTACATTCATGCTTTCAAAACACAAGCTGTACGCTTAAACCCTTTCATGATGTGTTTCTTTACATTAATACTGCACCTTTCCAGCATAGTTTTTTCTTCTTTTCAAGGTCTACATTCCTAGATGCTTATTCGTATAAGTAATTCACTTTTTACCAGACTGGTGCTTTAAAATTTATAGAACACAAAATGATCAAACCTTATCTTTGATCTTCCTCCAGGGTAACTGACCAATCATAAATTCCACCAGCATGTAGAAGAGGGACCAGAGGTCATCATGGCGCCCCATCTCCTACAGGTACATAGGACACAGGAAATGTATGCTCAGTACAGCACAGCCTTCACCATTTCCTCTGGAGCATCACAGAAGAAAGGAAATAGGTTACAGTTCATCGATAGCTATTGTTTCACGAATGGAGTCTGAAAGGATCCTAGAATCCACCTGGTTTTAGAAGATTGTGTTGGTGAATATGCCTACACACTTCATGACAGAATGATGTACTTTAAGATGAACATAAAACATAAGAGAAAAGCCCATTCTGTTCATGTAGCCAGTTTGGCAGGTAGTACTGTAGCTTTAAAGATGCCAGGATATCAGCTTCAACAACATAGCTGGGCAGCATATTCCTGACCTCCACAGCCCTTGCGTAAAGACATGATTTTAAATTTCAGCGTTAAATGGACAGCATCTACTTATGTCTGCTCCTTTGTGTTTACTGTTCATTCTGAAGAAACCTGTATCAGGTCCTCTCAGTCTTCTCAACTGAAGACTAAAAGGTTTCAGTTTCTTCAGCCTGTCAGTGTAGGAAATTCAAAAGGACCCATGTAAATCTCTATTCAAATCATAAACTTATGCATGCTATAGAGTAAAGAATAAAACACAAATACATAAGAAAAATAAATGTTAAGACACCATGTAGCCCATTATGTCTCCCTATTATGCAATTAAGTTTAGTGTCTTAGTAATCTATCAATTTTATTTTCAAGTTCATTGTCATTATATTTATATACTGGTATATGGTATAACAAAATGCTGTTTATCTAGCTCTCAGATGGTAGATAGCACAAAAAACAACAGTACAATTGTGAAAGAAAAGAAAGACAGAGACAACAGGCAATGTGCAAAACAACAACAGTTGTGCAAAATCATAGCTCAACAGAATGAAATAAAGGATACAAAATGATACGGAGTGGACATCTTGACATGTGAGGCAGAAGTAGATTTCAATGTGCAGTTGAATTTTGATAGAGAAAACACCATAAGGGTTCAGATCATAGGTGAGGCTGCTGGGAGTTTAATCGTTTGATAGTGTAGGGCTAAAAACTGTCTCTGAATCTTGTAGTCCGGGCACAAATGCTCTGGTACCGTTTTCCAGATGGTAGAGGGTCAAACAGTCTGTAGCTGGGGTATGTGGGGTCTTTGATGATGCTTAAAGCTTTTCTCAAGCACCGTCTGTCATAAATGTCCTGGATGGATGAGAGAGCAACCCCAGTGATGGACTGGGCAGTTTTCACCACCCGCTGTTGGGCTTTGCGGTCACCAATACTGCAGTTGCCATACCACACTATGATGCAGCCTGTCAGTATGCTTTCTGTAGTGCATAAGTAAAGGTTAGTGAGGATCGTAGGAGATATCTTAGCCTTTTTTAACCGTCTTAGGAAGTACAGGCACTGCTGCGCTTTCTTAATCAGACAAGTGGCATTGAGAGACCATGTAAAATCCTCGGTGATATGCACACCAAGGATTTTCAAGTTACTGACCCTTTCCACTTCAGTCCCATTGATTTATAAGCGTTTTGCAGTTCTCTGAAATCAACGATCAGCTCCTTGGTTTTGCTGACATTGAGGGTGAGGTTGTTGTCTTCATACCACATTGTAAGGAGATTGACATCCTCCCTGTAGGCCCTCTCATTATTGTCTGTGATCAGACCTACAACTGTGGTTTCATCTGCAAACTTGATGGAGTTGGCTGTTTTTTGCAAAAAAACTGGTAACTTACTGACCTCAAGTATGTTTCTGGTTTTGTCCTACACTTCTGTGCACAATTTCAAATAATATCACTCCCTCTTGTTTATTTCCTTTTAACATATGGACAATCTTATTCAAGGTGAGAAGTCATGTTCTACTTAGACTGAAAAAAGCTCCTAAGATCCTTCAATGTACTGTAAACTCATAACAGATATTGAGAGCCCTAAACGGAGTCTTCCGGCTCTTCTCTACATTGTATGGGTCCTATATGCATTTTGTATCATATGCAGCATACGCAGGCTATAACCGTGTTTAGTTTTCCAGATTATAGTCTAATAATCACATAAAGTAATTTAGGGCAATCAGACAATTTCATCATAACCAGTCATGTTACTAAAATAATGAGACTACAGAAAAGCATTTCCACATTGACATCAAACTTCCCAGCAAAACTAAGTGAAAATGTCTTGGGTTTTTTTAATGAGATTTTCAAAGATGTCAACACTGGATTTTTAAGCAGTTTAGTTCTTGGCATCAGGAGTATAGGCAGAAATTCAAGGGCCACTACATACCTTATTCTTGTGCGCATTGACGGAGGCGTACCGCACTGTTCCTCTGAACCCTGCCACAGGCCGAGGCTGCAAGACAAAGAGCCAGTCTATCAACATCTCTCTATCCAGAACCCATCAGGCGAGGCCAACATAAAGCCCTTGTTTTTCAGCACGTGATTCGTCAATAACAGGGTGTCCTAGCAAAACCAAGAAAAAATCATGCATACTGACGCATCTTCAGCAGATTATGTATGATTCCTCGTGACTAGGACTTGATTAGGATTGTTATTTTGATAGGCCACTTTTATTCCAATGAGGTTCACATCCTTAGATGTTTACCAGAGAACTTGCTTCCTTTTTTCTTCAAGAAGGACATGGTAATTCATTTTGCAGAAATATGGTAGTTATCTAGTTTGTATATAGGAGGTAAAATCTGCCATTACTGAGGCAGAGGCAAAACATATAAAGATTTTCATCATCCTCCATTGCTAAGAGGTCAAAAGGCACCATATTGAAAAAGCCATGACATCAAGCTGATGAGGCAATTACACGGTACGACTGTTGATTTGCCGAGTCTGAGGTCCATGGGAACATGCGTCACAGCTGGGAAGGAAGAGCAAACCTCTGGAAACCCCCAGGGTTCACTTCAGAGCAGTTTGCTATTGTGTGCAAACAGTGCCCCTGGGAAAACGTGCTTGCTACTGCCCAGGGATTTGCATGCTTAAACCTACTGGATAAAAATACACTAGAGACATTCCTAGCTATTTTGTTCCCATGACATCTTAGGCTTGGATTAATTTTTACAGATTTTTGTAAGTACATCAAAGACAAGTGTAAATGTTTTTTTTTTTTTTACATTAGGCCGAACACGGGTTTGGGTGCTAGATTTCAACTGCAATCTGTTTGAATAATAAATTTCCTTATTATCTGACAAATATTTCCAATTTTGTTGCATCTTCTAAGAATTAGAAGGGGCTGTGAGCATAGCGAACCCTCTACATCCCTCTACAGCAGAAATAGCAAAGCTTCACAAGTTATGAACAAATTCTGTAAGCAGAAAGTGCAATTGCAAGCCCATGAGTCTCCAGTGAAAATATTTCATTATTAACAGAACGTGGGCAGAGCCTTTCTTTTCTGTCTGAAAACATACTGACTTTTATGCCTGTTTCTATTCATGTAAATTCCCCCGAGGAGCAGAGTCAGGAGAATTATGCATTTGACGGCAAAACCGCGAGAGGAAGACACTGAAATCTGGCCATCATGCTCCTGTGTTATCCAGAGCAAAAGACATTCCATTTGGAGCTCTACATCGGCACTGCAGCAAAGCGCTATCCAATCCAGGCAGCCATCCCCCACTATTCAAACACTAACACTGCACTCGGGAAAAGCTGATTTATTATTACTCCTGTTTCACATATCACAGTGCAGGTTCTGAATATGCATAGAGTTGTGAGCAAATAAAATACTAAGCAAACAGCACGTTGGCTCTAAACCTCAAGCGCCATCTCAGAATGCTGCTTCCACTGAAACTATCAAATTGTTCATCTCAGATTGTTAAAAGCATGAATAATGCCCCTCTTATAATTGTTCAATAATATGTTACTCATAGGTAATGTAGAAAGACAAAAATAACAATGGTCACTTAAACCAGAAGAAAACCACTTGACTTGAGAGAGGATTTTAAGGCTGAGATCATCCGAATACAAACCAGTGTTCTTAAGTTACATAAACCTCCAACCACTTTCTTCTACAATTCATGCAATTGTGGCACCATTATTCTAGTAAACCCAACCAGATCTGACAGAGGTGTTCAAATACACAATCTTTACACCACCTACTACTGTACAGGTGCTCCTCACATAGGATTTCCCCAGAGAAACAGCTCATTCTGCATTCCCTCCCCAACGTGCACAGAAGAACAGAACTGGTCAGACTCTGTTCCTTGGGGACAGGAGATTGCAGTTTCCCTTGAACACCACACTCATCCATTAACCTGCATGTCTAATCCCCACTTACGCTACCTATTCTCAAAGAAAAACACTGCATGCTAATTGTAAAATTAATTGTTTAATAATGCATATCTTGTATGAATACACCCTGTTACTATGTTTCAAATGTGATTTTCTTCCGATAGACTGCAGTGCAAGATGTAGGAGGTCCGCTTCATTGGACACAAATGCTGTGTTAGGCCTCCAAATATGCCTCTGCAGTTTAAGACTAATTACTGCCTATCTCTAGTTGAGCTTTCTATTGGAAATTCTTCTTGGGCCTGAATTGATTTCCAGGGACGTCCAAATAAGCCTGAGAAATATTGTACATTTTTATAATAGCCAGGCCACATTCCTAGATTTCAAATGAACTGGAAAAATCTCAAAATGAATTTAACAGTTTGTTGCTTGCTGTTGTTATGCTTTAAAATTTCTTATTTGTTAACAAGTTCATGTTGTGTTAAATGTATTACGTATTGTACACATGTATTGTTTTCTACTGCCTGTAAAGCAAATTTCCCAATCTGGAACAATAAAGGAAGTTCCTTTATTAAGTAAGTTGCTGTAAACCCCACTCCTCTCCAATTCTAAACTCTGCACTTCTCGATAGATGTATTAATTACAGGTCCATTCAAGAGGCTGTTGCATTTATCATGTCAACATTTTTAATGTGTCAATTAAAAAATAACGGATGTACCAATGCACACAAAATAATCAAACCTCACCATGTCATTTATCCAACCCACTATATATAAAATCAATGAGGAGCTCTGCTAGACTGCACTTAAACAAAATTCTTACCTCTGGACACAAGCTGTCTCTGCCTTCCCTGATCTCTCCCTGTCAATATAGCATACACTGTAACACTTGCCTTTTTATAATATCTGTTACATGATAATTACAAATTTAACTACAACTGTAAAATGAACAGTACTGATCAGGAAAGAAGTGTGCTCAAATGTTTGTTTCCAATGATCTCAACATAACTAAACAGATCTCCTACTTGACTGATCACAAATTGTTCCAAGTCTCTAGAAACTAAGAAAAATCAAAACTAACTCTTACTGCACCACTGCTGACCCTTACTGTACATCCTTTTCTTCTATTTTAAGAATCCTAAGTCATGAATTTTACAATTACTTTGTGTGATTTTTTTAACATGAATACATCTATAATTCCTTTACTGCTCACATGGTAAAACAGTCAGTGAAGGGACTTCAAAGAGCTCTGTTTGACGGGTTAATGCTTTTTAGTAATCCGAGTTGCTGTGTGAACCTCAGTCCAAACCTGATTTTTTCCAATGACTGACACATTCTCTCTTACCTCAGACATGTCATCTCCATGGTCACTGATCCCTCTCTGTTAAAACAGTGTGTCATTCTTAGCAATATCTAAATATTTGCTCCTTTCATAGAAATGTTGTAAGAATCTGTTATGCAAATCTGAAACCATATTCTTAAAAGTATTTTACTATACCTTTGTTACAGGAAAAGCAAACCAAGAATAAAGAACTACATACTGCAGCATCATTGAAGATTTTCCATCTACCACTTTGCAAGTTCACATTGTTTTCTTAAAGAAGAGACAAGGTATACATTTCTTGTGGTGATAAATGCTTTATGTTTGATTGGGCCTTATTAATTTGTCCTGAAATACCTAGTAAGCATTATACCTAAGTCACATTACTTTCCTCCTGCACAGAACATGGCAGACAAGGACTCCTCTGGCAAAACTGTCAGGTTTCACGTTGCTATCTGCAGCAGGAGCAGCCACATTTAAATGCTGACAGGGGCAGACAACGTGGCTCGTGCCGAGATTGTGCTGTAGGGCAGGAAACCGCCGAGTGACAGCAGTGCAGAGAGACAAGACTCGAGCCAGTTCAGTCACAGCACCACCCCTGGTTCTGTCAGCATCACTGTTTCCCAGATCCAGCTTTACTAGTTCAGAGTCCAGAACCACATCATTAACTGTTTGGGTTAATTTTTATTTTTTAACAGGTATGATTTCCAGCTTCACGTCACATGCAATAGGCCTCTAGACTGCAAAACATCCGCAGCTACTGCATTCTCGAAGAAGACCCTTAAATCCAGCTCATCCACATGGAAGACCTGTGAAGGAACAGAGCCCCTTTCAGAATATCAAGTCCTAGATTACGAGTTCACTATAAGAAATGCACACACCTTGTTCTAACAGGAGCAATGTCCTGAGAAAGACCTGAACAAAGCCCTTTTGATACAGTCGATGACACCCTCTAAAAAATAATTAATGGTAAAACTTCTGACTTTCTTCAGGTTTGTGCTAAATGGGTTTCACTGTTGGTCCACAGATATTGAACTCCAACTATCCTAGTCTTACCTGCGATAAACTGTCTTCACTGCCCTCTCCCTGTTAAAATAACATTAGAAACAGTCATTCACTCACTTTCCTGCACACTTTCACTCTGAATTGTGTCCAAAACGGCAGATAATGTTACTGAATGAAATTAATTTCAGTGAACCAGCTCATACAGAGAATGACAATCTGGTCCAAGCAGCACAGAAAATAACCCTGATATACTGTAGATATACTAATACATAATAATCTATATTTTAACTCAATTCCTAATTGGGTACATGAATGCTATTTACATTTAAATGAGTTTGTTGAATGTTAAGAAATTTGTTGAATGTGATGACAAAATATTGAACTCTAGTCATGTGATTTCATAAAAAAAATAGACAATCAGTGTATCATGCTTCAATTAAAAATGCCCACACGAGGTATTAAGAAACTGTATAAGTAACCTAAAAAGGCCAACAGCGTGTTAATATCTCATGAAACACCAACAATAAAACAAGGAGCAAAATCAGGCCAGATTTTTAGTGGTGCACACACTGAAGATTTTGAATGCTTTTCTATTCTTCAACATTATCCAGTTCCCAGTGAATACCTTTCTATTCGTCAACAACAATTATGGCCGGAATACTTACGGATGGTCCTGAAAACTCTGGGACGATTACTTATTTAAATCACATCCTCCTTTTCCTTAACTCTTCCTTTCAAGTGAGCTTTTAAAATATTTTGTTTTAAAATATTCCAGTTAAACTGCAAAAGCTCATAAGGTATGGCAGAGAAGCAGCTGTGAGATGGATTGCAATAAGCTGATGTCATTGTTCTTAAGAGATAGGGATGAAATTTGAAAAGGCAGGGTCTTGGTAAGCTTCAGCACACTGTCCAAGTAAAATGTCATTAACAGGGATGCTGGGGTGGGGGGATACATGCAACATTGTTGATAGAAGCTTTGAAATGCAGAAACATTCATCCCTCCATTGAGTAGACAGTATTGTGGCATTGGAGTAGACAGTATTGTGCTTTCCCTCTTATGCAATTAATCACGTTGTAGAGCCCTCTATTTAATCTGGCTGATGAAGATCCTTGTGCAGAAATCAATCTCAATAAGGACCCAAATTATTAACAGAAATTGTCACTCAGTGGTTTATATATAATTTAAAAGGCTATTTTCTTTTAAATGGTGGCAATGGCAGTTAGTGCTACCGCCCCAGAGCTCCTGGGTTAGGATTCAATTCCAGAGAGAGGAGCCCACACTGTGTGGAGTTTGCACGTTTGCCCCCAGACTATGGGATTTTTTCCAAGTGCTCCAGTTTCAACCCAAATACCACATCCACACTGACTTGCATCTGCTTACACTGCCATGTGCGTGTACGTGTGACGGCCATGTGATTGACTTGCTTCCTGGCGATCCCGAGTGTGTGGTCCCTGCTTGTGTCTCCCTACCTTGGGTTAGGCTCTGGTTCACTGAAACCAAACTTATGGAAAATGGATGGATGGTTGTATAAAAGCTGAATTTAAAATCTACAGACACACCAGAAGTACTGACAGAGGGGGGCTACTATGCGAGTGAGAAAAGGGGAGTGAAACCTTCCTCTCTATTTCTATTCCTGGTGGAGATCTCCAGCATTAAGCAATTCTTTACCAGCTGTGCGTTTTTCCCTCAGACTCATTCATTTATCAGTATTTATTAGCTGAATGTCGACATTACATGGGGAAAAAAATGCAATAGGTTCAGATTTCTACATTTTGAGTCTGGTTTTCTTCACTTTTTCCACCTACAACACGGTGAACTAGAGCAAGATCCAATAAAATAATTAGCTAGCTTGGGCAATCTTACTCTAAGCAGAAAAGGCCACCTTTTGCTCTTTTCAAATAGTTGATTCAAAGTTTTAAAACTAATTAGAAGAGTCCTTTGTATTCCACACTTGTATCCTTTTGAGCAAAAAACATAAAAAATCCTCCTGCTGCTGGATGAAGAAGTCAGAGACAAAATAGTGGGACATGGCAAAAGGGAAAACATAAGAATCAATTAAATAATTGCTAACAGAACAGGATTGACTTGTACTAAGTACTGTGGAACAGCTACAAAGTCAAATGAAAGAAGCACATCCCTGTCTACAAGCCTGGCCTGGAACTACACTTCAGACAGCTCATGCAGGCTGAGTGCAGACAGTCATGCAGCAGCCTGATATTGATACCACACGCATCTCAGTTGGTTTACTCGATAGGACTGGTGAGTCAGAAGAGTTGCTCTGTAAAAACAGATAATAAGGCAAAAGGACTGACCGGTCTCACTTCTTGGGTGATGGTGGTAAACTGGCGCGCAAGGCCGAAGTCCAGCATGTAGCATTTCCTGTAGGTGCTGGAGAAACGGCCCATGGCAAAGTTGGACTGGAAGAGAGCACAGGAAATGGTCCGGTAATGTTCCCAGCCACTGCCGCTCCTTGAGCGTTACTGAGGTGACATGAAATTAACTCAAGAGCTAATTTTGCTAGCCTGCTGAAACAGACCTGCTGTTTGAGATCACATCAATACATGCATCCATTCGAAACAGATGACCTCTAACCAAGGCATCTTAAAATAGAAAACATTGAAAAATGAATGACAGCAAAATCAATGTGTTTAAAATATCTGCTATAAGTTTACATGTGATATGAATTGACAGGAGTGGGGGAATAAAGTGGACACTTCCACACTGTTCCAGCACTACACTAGGAGTCAAAGTCTTGCAAGCACACGTGTATAAGCCCAGTCTGAGCTCTATAATCCCGGGTTAGAGCCTGGGTTAAGTCTCTAGTCATTTGTGACTGGAATTCCCCCAGCACAATTGGCATGTTACATAGCGGCTGTGGCATGTGAAAAATGAGTAGCTGGATGGCGTGTGGGTTGGAGGAGTCTGATTGCACTTCTTCATTCTCTGTTGTGTGTGGTTACAGGAATCGTAGCTGACGCACTACTGGCGACTCCAAATTGGGTGAGCATAAAACATATTTGGCCGCACTAAATTTCTAAACAATTAGCTTCCAGCTCAATCAATTCTAAAATCGAGGTCTTGACTCATTAAAAACCCAAGGGCATTTCTCAAAAAGGGTAGGAGTGTTACCCCGGCATCCTGGCCAAATTTCCCATTGGCCTTTACCAATCATGGCCTCCTAATTATCACCATCTCTGAATTGGCTGCATCACTCTCCTCTCTGCACTGATAGCTGGTGTGTGGGAAGTGTAGTGGTGCACTATGGCTGCCGTCACATCATCCAGGTGGATGCTGCACACTGGTGGTGGTGGAGGGGAGTCCCCATTACCTTTAAAGCTTTTTGAGTGGAGTGTCCAGACAAGCGCTACATAAGTGTAAGGAATTGTTATTATTAAAACTCTTATTTTTATTTATCAAAGCTTACCCCAGCATTACAACAAACACTTTAAGAATAAACATTTTAAGAAATAAAAAGTAATGCAATAGAGATATCTTACACGACGATATGGCAACACAGGGCTGTTTTTCTTCCATATGGGTCTTTGTCAGGTTTGAAAGAAAATAGCACTTGCATATTTTTGCAAATAAACAAATGACAGAATTATTTATTTTCTAACATTTGCTTTAAAAGTTTTTCATTTAATTATGATGGCCAAGAAGAGCAGTACACAGTCATTCTGTCACATATGATGGGACACAGAGACACATCTCTATAGCTCTTGTGCACCCTTCTACTTTAACTTACAGCAAAAAAACAATTACACCCGTCAGGTTCAGCTGCAATTACTGTCCACTCCTATTCTCAGCTCTTAATGCCAGTTCTGGCTGAAAACAATGCTCAGACTGTCATTGAAAAGGTCCTTCACCTCCCTGCCCTGAATTAAGAAGCCATCTGCTATCCCTAACTCACCGGCTTGATGTCTCTGTGCAGGAAGCCCACGGAGTGGATGCTCTCTATGGCCTCCAGGATCTGCCGGCCCAGCCGCAGGGTGGTGCTGATGGTGAAGGTGCCCCGGGTCATGCTGCGGCGCAGATCTGCCAGGTTCCGGCCCTGTGGGATGAACGGACACATGCCGGAGGACTGTGGCCCGAACACATCAACGTCACGCATGCTCTACGTCACGTCTCGCCTGCGGACACACGGCCAGGTCAGCTCAGCTCACGCAGCGCCGTGCACATGCTGACCCGCAGCACGGAGAAATCCAAATGCTGCAGGAAGCACAGCAACCAGCACAGACAGCAGAGGAATGTGCAAATAAGAAGCTTTGTCACCAAACTAAGCTTTACAATTCACCCAACATACAACACAAAAGCACAAGTACACTCGTATCCGGTAGCATGGCCTTGTGTATATTTATGGTGATAGCATGGAGAGGTACTCATTTTAAGATGGCAGAGCTTGATAAAATACAGAAACCAAAATGCATTATTTTAAGGTTCTACATTCCATCCACTTTTTAACTGCTTTTTCCAATTCAGGGTCGTGGGGAAGCCGGAGCCTGTCCCAGCAAGCAATGGGCACAAAGCAGGGTACACCCTTGACGGCACGCCAGTCAATTGGAGGGCACACACAGACACAAACACACGCACACATCAGGGCTCATTTTCCTAGAAGCCAATTAATCTTCCAGCATGTTTTTGGGCTTTGGGAGAAACGGGAGCACTTGGAGGAACATACAAGTTCCATACAGATAGGACCCCAGTCTTAGAATTGAACCCAGGGCCACGGAGCTGCAAAGCAGCCCTGTACCACCATGCCGCCTAGGTCCCATTATTGTCACTTATAATACCTCCAGCAGTAATTAATTTGTGCAGTGCACTGCCCACAACAACCAAGAGAGAACAGCTCATTAACAAAAGTGCGGGTAGCTAATTAAATCCCATAATACTTTGCATCACAGCTCAAACTTGAAGCTTCTTCAGAACCTTACTCCATCTCCCCAGTGGGCCAAAAGCCTTCTCCTTCCCATACCTGCAGCTCCATCACCACGTAGTTGAAGCGATCATTTCGTCCACACCCGATGAACCGGCACACATGGTCCTTGCCTGCCAGAGAGGAAGAGGATCAGCACTGCTTTGAAAACTGATGCTAGCAGCACAGTATTCACGACGATAAAGTCACTGATTCGGTCAAATGCAGCCTTCCTGGGAAACCGCAATTGCAATAGCCACATTAAGAAATACTTGCCTTCATAAGGAAAAGTATACATATTAACACACTCTGAATTGTGCTAACAACCTGCAGCAGTTGAATGGGGGTATTCATCCACCCATTTTCTAACTGCTTCATCCAACTCTCGGTCACAAGTGAGCTGGAGCTTATCTTAGCAAGCAATGGGTGCAAGGACACACAGAGACGCAGACACTCTCACACCAGGGCCAGTTTTCCCAGAGGTCAATTAACCTACCAGTAGATCTTTGGATTGTGAGAGGAAACCGGAGCTGAATGGGAGTGTTGTTTTACAGAAAAACACCATTTGAACTGCAGTGCAATTTCTGTGAGGCGACTTTCCCCATTGGGACAGCATATCAACAACAGAAAATGGTATAGAAATCTATGTTTAAGCCACTGGTTTCCCTTTTAACCAAGTGTATCTTAAATCTCTCCTGTTCATTAACTTAACATTGTCTTTGAACCATCTTATTTGCATTTTTCTTTCGGGTTAGGACTGAAAATAATCATGCAAACTAATTGAATTCCGCAATTTTATGATGCATCACATATACTAATGGATTTGTGCTAAGAACTGGTTTTCTGAGCTTCTTGCATGCAAGAAGAGTTTTAACAATACATTTTTTCTTTCTTAAACACTTTTGCTGTAAGTCATTAGCAGCTGTGCAGGTCATTTTTCATCAGGTCCTGATAAAGGCCAATGGACGTTTGCTTCACTGCAGCAAGAGCTGGAGAAAAGGAAGCCAGACAATTTATGAAGCAGTTTTACAGCTCCTCAGGTACTCTGCACCCCAGAGCTGTGCCAGAGATGAACAGGACTGAGTCATTCATTACAGACTGCAGCAAGCAACTGTAGCTGACGCTCTGTCCTCTCCTTGGGGGCTGGGAACGTCCTTTACTCCTGAAGGACTAGTGGAAGGGGCTTTTAGTCTCCGCTTCACCCCCTGTGACAGGCGGAACGATCCAGGCCTGATGCAGGAATCGGACGCGATGGACTGTTCAGCACAGAAACGCAAGGAGGGCGTGTGTTTCGCTGCCCGATTAATCAGCCAGCTGTCAGGCTAGGGCAAACAGAACACTGAAGGGAGGCGGGGGGAGACAACAGTGCAACACAAACCACAGCCGTACACATAAGAGTAGCAAAATTCAGCACTTGGCAGGAGAAGACTGTCCTATGTTAAACCATTTTTCTTTTAGTCCACCAGTCTCACAGCCAGCCTGTTTCGCCACACTAAACTCTGACTCCAGACTAGCATGGACAGACCACCTGCTGTTACGTTAGGCTACACAACACAACAAACAAAATCACAAGGCAGTTGTACTAGATTTCATTATGCGGGTTACATTTGATTTTCACACGCTAGTCTTTCTAATCTTTGCCACAGACCCAAAGCGATGCGTATTCCAAGCAGGCTCAGGGGGAAGACAGGCTGACATACAGAGGTCACCCTTCTCTGAAGCCACAGGCTCACTCAGGTGAATAAAGACGCAAGGATGGAGCTGAAGGGCAGAACGAACAGGGCTGAGCTCGGTTGTGAACTCGTCACAAGCCAGCCCATCATCTTGGGTGGTTTTTACACAGCAAGGCTTCAAGGCCATGAAAAACATTCAGATGTTTATTTCCCACACAGCTTTCAAAGATTCATTCTGATATTTCAACACAAATAAATGCCCAAATAATCTAGCACAATCAAATAACCCAAAATCATAAGATGCATAGGATAGTATAAATTGCACAAAGATTTAGATGACATATTTAAGGCAAAAGCAGGTAACTTAGTCAGTGTTCAACATTCTTCTCTATAAGACCATCAGCTGTCTAACACTGGAGAAAAATATTTTTATGCAAGAAGTGTATGCGTAGCTTTTACCATTTCACAAAATGATAAATGCCAATTATCATTTGATGTTTCATAACATAAAAAGAGTACATAAAATGGCTCTAGGTCACACACAGAAGCCATCTTCACTTGAGACTCTTCCAATGTGAAAGTACAAAAACACTCACAGTACTCCCTTGTACATTAATCTGAATAGTCAACAATACCTAAATGAAACAAATAGAAAATGTTTGATATTTCTTAATGCACTGATGCATTAAGCTCTTTGCACTTAAAACACTGCAGTACAGCTGTTTAAATGACTGCTGGAGCCCCCCAGGAATTACATTAGGAAGTCCAACTGGTGTGTAAACACTGTATTCCGATTACCCTGGGCAGATTCGCGGAATCTCACTAGCCCGTGCCAGGTAAATCTACAAAGGGTAAGGAAGGGGTGTGCGATAAAGTAAAAACGAACTGAACGCAGACAATGCAAATTGGACAACTTAAGAGTGCATACAATATATAATAGCAAATGTTAATTTGGCATACACCATTAGATTCTGTATCTGAAACACAGCAGGTAGTTAAGATTTGGAAAATCACAAAATTACATATTCTTCAGACCCTGAATAGGATTTCAAAAAAAAAATCTCATCTTTGACAGCAGTGCCTGCGCAGGCACAGGGAGGGGGAGGATTCTAGTGTTTCAATCTATTACCCTCAGATGAGTTGCAAATTGACCTGCAGTGCAGCATAACTTCTAAACATATTAGTGCTATTATATAAGGCAAACCTGATCCCAGGGCATTGATTTTCTGCAGCGCAGCAGAGAAAAAGTAAAAAATGGAGATAGCTAAATGTCTCCTTTCACCACTTAGGAAATCTAATTGGAGTCTTGATCTGAAGCCCAGGTGCAGAAATCTGGAGCCTGTGGCTTTATTCCCACTGGACCCATGAGCTGTAGGATCCACAGCAGCTCCTCCATTCCTGAACCCTGTCCTGACGGCAGCCTTCTACATTATCTTGCCACAAAACATGAGAGTTCAGGCTTTAATGAAGGACTGAGAAATTTAAATCCATTAATTCATAAAACATAATATCCAGGAACTGGTGAAGAACACTTTACAACATTTAGACTTTCAATAAATAGGTAATTACAAACCTTTGCCGTTTTTTCCCCCCATTTCTCATATCTCTAAGGCTACATTGATCTTTCTCTGTTGATTCCTACACAATCCACTCTTTTTTGTCCATGGTATTGCAAGTATCCCACTGTTATTTTTTGGCTTTAATGCACAAAATCGATGCTTTATAGACAGAGATAAGATGCTCAAGGAGCAGGCTGTTAGTTTAAATGTCTCCTGGAAAATCCTTCCCAGCAAATCCTGGAAGAGGTTCTCAGCAAGGTACTATTAAATCCGACAGCCCGCGAGCGTGATGAGAACACAATTTCAGAAGCACCAGTAAACTTCCCCCAGTCAGCTTTGACAAACATTTTGATAAGCCACTTCCTACAAGACCATTTACAGTGTATAGCCCAGCAGAACTAAGATGAAACAAAAAAAAAACACACACTTTCAATTATTAAGGACACTCTGGAGGGATGGATTAGCTTACATGAAAAGATTTCTGTGACGTCATTCTATGATCTTTTAGTGGATTTTTTTCACCTTAGCCAACCTTGACCTTCGAATCCCCAGTTTTAATTAAAACCAGTATCTGCTACATAGCAGGCAGAATTCATAACAAAGCTTTCTCGGAGAAAAGACATTTATATATTAGAAGTGCCAAATATATCTCAAATTAAGAAGCAAGGAACTGTATCGGGCACATATACCCAACTTACAAATCAATTATTCACAGAAGAGCAGACTGCCAATTAGCAAAAATCACTTCGATGAAATGTCATAAGTAGCATAAAGAACCGAGCTGCATTGAAAAACAAGAGAAAATAATCTTGAGTACCTTTTTTTACCAATTGTACATTCTCTTTCTTATTAAGACCACTCTTTTTGGTCATTTTTGAAACATGCACATTTCATTGTTCCATTTAGCGCCACTCAACTTCTGTCGCTTAGAACTGCGAGAGCTACACTAATCTTCAATATGCAAGACAACAGCAGAGCCTGTACTAGTTGTTTCTACAGCAGCTATAATCGACATGAGGCAAAAGCTCCCTTTCAGATATAAGAAGAAAACCCTATAGGATGGCTTACTAATACACAGAGAATGGTCATAGCATAGTGATGTGTAACTATATACTGTATGTTGAAATGTACTTATAAGGTTATGCCACTGAACTAACAAATGAAACTGCCTCTGAAATGCCTCTAATCAGTCACAGCTGCTGCTTCACATGCCAAGCTGCAGAAAAAGGAGATTCTTTTTTCATTCTTCTCCATTATCATTTAAAGTTATTCAACACCGTTTCTGCTCAGAATGATATTTGGCATGGTCATTTACAGCTGACAAAGCCACTGTTAATGTCAAAACATTGATTTAATAGATAAGTACAAGAAAAACAATACGCTGATTGCTTATTTTCCAACAGGACAACGCAAGTGTACACAATGCTGAAGTTTTGCCGGACATCTTTGTCCTCTGACAAAGGTCCAACAGATATCTGTGTGGGATCAACAACATCAGACAAGTGTGCCAAACCCTGCCAGGACTGAGTTAATGCTCATGGAGGTCATACCTTATATTAACTATGGAATGCTTTTATTTTTACTGTATGTTATTTTTCTTTAATCTGCATTTGTCTTCTCCTTTTCAGTGATTTCATTTTATTTTAATGTTTAAAATATTCACAGTTAATTAAATTTGAAAAGACCTGGGTACCGTCTTTCTTTTGTGCATACAACTTGATAAAACGAATTAAGAATTACTAAATTTTTTGTCAGAATAACCCGTTTAGATTGGTTTCTGTATACTGTATTGGATAGTGTAGGCTGGCAAAGTATACCAACTACAATTATTGTACTTCTGAGAGGGACAGTCTAGTATAAGAAAAGGGTATTTTCATATAACTGTTTGGTGATTGATGGAATTATGAATAATTAGTATATTTGTACTTATATGTATTACGAATAATACTCTTACCATAAATATTCCATATTTTTCATAAGAAACTTTTTTAACCATATCTTTAAATCACACTAAAGCCAATAAATACAAAGCCAGAAGGGGATACTGACCTTGCAGCTTCTTCAGCACGGCCACTTCCATCTTCAGCACCTGTTTGGGCTGCTGCGCCGACTCCACCTTCAGCGCCACATTCTCTCGCGTCAGATGGTCCACGGCCTCATAGATTTCCCCAAAGCCGCCCCCGCCAATCTTCTTCAGCTGGTGAAAACACGGCAGCATTAAAACCTTCTGGTCGGACCCCAGAAGCTCAGCAAGCCTGGGCCTGCTCAGTACTGGGACAGACTTCCCTGGGAAAACCAGGCTGTAGCTGTAAGTGGTTCTGGTGGACCTGTAGGTGGTGCTCTTTCCTCCAGAGTGCAATTTGACCATTAAAGAGCCTACAGTACTGTATGGAAAAGCAGGCATGTTTAGTTCCACTGTGGGGCTAATGCCTATGGCAAATTCTCCTCAGTAATCATAAAAATATTTGTATAAGCTTCTAGGAGACCCTTTAAAATTAAAAGAGCTTTATAAAAGCAATGAAGTGTTATTATATATTAATCCAAAACAGAGGAAGCAGACAGGATAATTTGTGCCAGGTCTCTCAACTTGAGAGCTAACTGACTGTTCTGCTTTGACCTTACAAGAGTGTTTGTTTTTCACCTTCTAGAAAACCTTTCTGTTTTCTATGGTACTTTCTCTCTGAGCTTTGGTTGGCTTCTAGCTTTTTTCCTGCAGGATAGGAAACTGCTATAAATAAGCCTTCTGGCTCAACAAACTAGAATGGTTACTTCATGATTTTAGCCATTATAAAATGTAACAATGTTAAGGGAGCTTGCCATTCTGTTGTTTTTAGGTAACAGATTCCCTGTATAAAGAATCCCTAGGTTAAAAATGCTCTCTGCTGGTAAATGGATGCATTTTTTAGAATAGGAAGAGAGGTTTCTCATTCACTTGGCATACAGATTTCAGACAGAGAGAGAGATTAAATAGTAGGTCTTATTTAGTTTAGTGTAGAACGCAGATTTACTGTATCTCTCTTGTTGGCCTGTGTAGGTTTTATAGGATTTGAATACTTGTTAGCAGTCTGGGTTTTTTTTGGGTAGTCAATATGTAGGCTACTGGGATGCCTTGTTTGTAAACAGAGTAACTTGTATGTTTTATGGTTTTATGTTTTGTCTTGTTTAGTGCATTTGTTACAAAATATTTATTCAACCCTGCATATCTGACTTATTATTCCTTTCACCAAAGCTCTACCAGAGAGCAAAGATCTCAACTGCCTCTAATTATGCCAACCGTTTGAGTATAGTCTTGGCATAATCAATTTAGGTGTTGTGATTACTTTAATTATTGATTATCCTTCTCGGTCTATAAAATGTAATTCTCTATTTTCCAATCTTATTATTTGTAACAATACAGCAACACTGACACTTTTAAAATGAATGACCCCGAAATAATGGAACTGTTATCAAGCTGTAGTACTGCTGTTTCAAGACGGCTGATTTGAAAAGGCCAAGGCTCTGTACACAGCAGCACATGATTGAAGGATTACCGTTTGCAAATAAAAGCATTACAAGTGACAATCCAAACTCATAAAAGAACATAAAACTCTCAGCGAACACTGTGCAGTGGTTAGAACTAATATTGTTTACTGTACTTATACAACTCTGGGTATAACATAAGATGACAACAGTAACACAAACTTTGTCATTGAAGACTGACAATGTTTTAAGCATTAGGAATAAAACAAAGAACAGAAAACTTTTCTTTGCCATTTCTGATATCAAAGCCTGAATAAAAACCTCTCATTGATGCAAAGTCTGCCCACAGGGGTCTGGGGCTTGCTGTGGAAAGCAGATTGTGTGCAGATCAGCATTTTAATGAGCAACATGTTCCTGCTCAGTACATCATTTGACCATTCCAGGCTCCAATTACCTCTTGAAAAGCTGCCCAATTGTTCAGATGGGAACAAATCATCCTTAAAAAAAAACGCAAATTGCTTCAATGTAGGGGGGGTTGGTTGACGACTCCTATTAAGCATAAATAAGCCATTTAACTCAATGGAGAAGAACAAACTCCATATCCAGCAACAAGCAATGTTAAGTGTTGCAACTTAAATGAGGCTGTTCATAATACAGGTGTAAATCCTCAATTTGCATTTACCATTTGCCAAATCACCTTGTGTATCCACTGCGACCTTTGACGTATGACATATGTCTCTTCCTCTCCAGCCTGCTTACACTGCACAGAAGGCAAACACAAGATTGCTTGTACCAGTGAAGGAAGGAGAAGAGATATACATCTTCTCCTCAAATACTTTCAAGGAAATCTGCGAGGTCATCTTCAGGACTTTTGCCGACAGGACACAATGATGTGAAGCTGGGTTCACTCTTCCAGTCCATGAACTGGTAACTTTTGTGGAAACACTACATGAAAATATCTGTCCCTATGGGCACTGTAGCTGAGCCCATAGGCACCAACCTTTCAGACATACTACTAGGGGTGCTCATCCTGAAATGTATTCACATTAAAGCACTTCTCTACCCACTCACAAAAAATAAATCATTGCTTTCTATTAATTAAAGCTTCATCTACAACAAGAATGTTTTATGCAGAATGTGTTTCTTAGTGTGGCGCTCCTGCTGATGAAAATATTTATTGTCTCTTCAGGTATTCAGTGAGCTAGAATCTCCATGAATGAGGCATTTAAATATTTCACTTAGCTGAACCTATCATCACTCACATTAATTTGGAATAAACTTCTCCTTAGTGAGACAAAACCCGTCAAATCTATTTGCAGCAAATGCACATGCCACCTTTAAAGGAGAAAACTATTAAGTCCCCATCTTCTGCATCTTAATTTTTGTAAAATAGCATTTCCTTCTTGTCATGAAAGACTGTAGTGTGAAAATAAGACAGCCTCCCCACAAAATTTAAAAATGCCTCATCTGGGTAGCTGGCATCACCCACAGGGACACCCTGGTTTTTTGCCTTAGAAAAAAGGCAAACTCCAGCCAGCAGGTCCATCTATCTTAATGACACTTTTCAACTCATGACAACAGCAAATCTGCTGCACAGTCCACATATACAGGTGAACCTTTGACTGCAAAGGAAACCTGGGGCCAATTTCCTAAAAAATGTGAAAAAAACTAATACATAAGAATGCTGTTCACACTTGTACAAAAAGCTTATTTTTTCACATTACATTGAGCATACTACAGGTGAAAATCTCTGCTACTTTCTGTTATGACTTTTATCTAACATGTCTTTCAGGAACTGCTTAGGAAGCATCTCAAAGCTGAGTGCATCTTTCAGAAGTTGAATGAATCATAAACCTGCAGCGGATTGAGGAAAGTTTATTTGCTTCCCTCGACACTTTTCAGCAAATGGGCTTGTTGAAATATTTTCTGAACGCATTATTTCTACAAACCACTTGGCAAAAATAAAAGGAGACTGAAGGCAAATTAAGGTACACCACCTGATCAAAAAATCCCTTGGCAATATTTGCTTGTGCATGGCTTCCTGAGCAGTGATCATCTCGAAGGCTTCAGACAAAGACAAAAGGTTTCTCTTCTAGAGAGTGAAAAGCACAAAGGCTGATTGTCTGGCAATATACCCACCACTTTCCATCGCTCCTTGACCAGGAAGCCCACCGAGAGGATATCGGCCTGCTCCCCTCCCCCGCTCATCCTGCCGCCCCCGGAGTGGACTGGGCGCTTCCCCTAGGCACTGCCCAGGCCACACGCTGGCATTGGGACCACCCGCTGCTCACTGCGGAGAAAGCGCACAGTCAGCAGTCAGCATTGCAGGTATCACGCAGCTCGGAATGGTCGGGTTTTAAGACCCATTACAAATGAGAGGAATAATCACCGATCTCAATCAGATGTCTCTTGAAAGTCAGGATATCTGCTTCAACAACATGGCTGGATAGCTTGTTCCACGCTCGAATTCGAACATCGAAGTGAAAGCAATGAAGATTCTGGTATTCAAGTAGGTGATCATCTTTGACAGAGACTCCATATCACTCAAAACACCTGACCAGGTCTAGTACAAGTGTTCACATTACTCCTATCCTGGAGTCCTTGCACTGGCTTCCGGTCAAATTCCGTGTAGACTTTAAAATCCTCATGCTCAAGGCCTTGCTTAAGGCCTTGCATGGCTTGGCACCTCAGTACCTGTCTGAACTATTATCGACCCTACTCCTCACCTTGCAACCTTTGCTCTTCTAATTCTGCTCTCCTTTCTGTCCCCCAAGCCCGTCTACATTGTATGGGTGACAGGGCCTTCTCCTGCTATGCCCCCAAGCTCTGGAACTCTCTCCCCAAGGATATCAGAGAGTCACCTTCTCTAAATTCCTTCAAATCCAGACTCAAAACCCTCTTCTTCAGAAAAGGCTTTACTTAACTGGTTCCATTCTTCATCCCTCTGCTTTTCTTAGTACCACCAACCACGGTCCCCTCTATATATTGCAATTGTGTTTTATCTTGTGTATTCTTCTTATTTATTGTTGTTGTCATCCTGTAAAGCGCTTTGAGAAGCCACCTTTAAAGGCACTATATAAAATAAAGTTTATTATTATTAAATACATCAGAGCAAGGTAAGGCATGTATTTTAAAACGGTGAGCTCACCAAGTACACAAAACATAAGAGAGATCTGGAAAATGCCAGACTGTCCGAATGAAAGTGGATTTAAACTTATTTTCTAATTTAAGTACTGTCTCCTGAGAGCCTCAACTGCTAAAAGAGCTCACCTAATGGCAGGCTGTGCCATGTTGGCTGACGTGTGACTGCAAGTGGGATTCCCTAAGTGGTGGCACATGAGTCTGAACACCTCTGAGAGTAAGGAGAAATAAATCAGCTGTCACTGCAACTCGGAGCCCCTCCAGTTTCTCTGGTGCCTGCCAGCTAAGTAAAGGATATGCCTCTCCTCCAGTCAGCGCTGGCCCACGTGCACTGGACTGCGCAGCCTGTGATGGTGCTAAAGTAGACGAGTAGCTGTAAAGTGGGTGGGTTGGAGGGGTCAGTCCAGACCTCCTCATTCTCCCCATGGATGTGTGTACAGAATTCCAAACTAGGGGGTTCCCAAAAAACCTGAGACAAAAGTACTGCACAGACCTAAACAAATCACATTATGTTCTGCTAAAATTAATGAATTTCAAATTGCTGGTCTTGCATTTTTTTTTATATATATTTTTTTTTTACAGTGTTTGACAACTTAAGTGGTGCATGTCTTTAATCTGTGAAACAGCAGGCTTGTTCTCATTATTTTAAAAGGATAACATTTGACAATGAGATTGTCATTAACCATGTTATAACTAGCTACATCTCACACACACACAAAAAAAAAGAGTATCTGGGATGCCCTCTCAGAGAAGGTTAACTGAGAATTAATTAGAAAGATTGATATTGAACAGCATACTAAAGATCATGGACAATTCAAGGTCACACAATACCGAAGCACTTTCAGGCTCCAGTCCTGTGTCATGCAGAGCCACAATCCAGTTATTCTTATAGGTCACCCAGTATCACCTGTTATTTCAAGATTAGGAACATTTGTTTAGGCACTCAATCAATTAATCAAGTTATGTTTCAATTAAGGGAGTACTGATTTTTCAGGGCTCACGGATATTATGATTCTTGTTTCAAATTAGGACTAAAATAGATAACAGAACACCACCTGTTCCACTTATCATACTTACATTGATCCTGGGCTTTAGAAATGGCCAATTTCAAGACTACTGGATGGGGCCCCTCCAGGACTAGGATTTGAGGCTACAGGTCTGCAGTGATAATTTTCAACACAGGATTCAGGGACACCTGTGTGTACCTGGGGACTGTAGAAAGCTCCAGGCAGCCAAGAGAAACCTCCCAGCCTAGTAGAATGAAAAACCTGCACTCACACACCAGATCAGTTCTGAAAACACATACAGTGGATCCATTTTGTTTTTTCACATTTCACTTTTTATGATAGCAACAGACTTCATTTTGATTGCATGTTGAAAATCTTCATGAAGGCTGAAAACCTATGACTTAGCGAAAACTTCAATAGATGCTCCAGTTGTAGGCCAATTTATGGGTACCCTCCATCTCCAATAATGTTAGATGCTAATTTAACAAACACAGGGAATACAACAGAGCTGCAGAAATAAGTTTTAAAACACAGCATCTTAAATTTTTGTTATATTGCTAAAAATCTGAACTATATAGGATAAATGAGTGTTCAATGTACTTATAAAAGATATCACTGTCCATAAGTATCTTTAATGGACAACATTTACTACAGTTAACAAATTAGTCAAGAACACTGTCAGCATCAGTGAATGTCTGTGACAATAGTTATAGTAGAAACAAATGTAAAATAACAACCCTTGCAGATAAAAAGTAAGCACCATGAATACCATATTTCTACTATTAATATTTTACATTAAAAAAACCACCTAATCACCAATCTACCTGTTTTTTTGTAAAACAAACATTCATCCACATTAGGAAAAACATTTCAGCTGGCAAAAGGAGCTCCTAATTAAAATGTATACACCAGATGATGCTGACAGGGCACAGCGGTGACATGTTCCCACACTGTAAACCCCTGTTAATACAAAGAAACACTTGCAACACTATGCTGAAGAAGGGAAACGATTTTCAAACCTGACAGTCTATCACAACAAGAATCGGCCACAATTCTTTTACATTTGTAGAAAGCAGATTATGTACAAATCCTTACCAAATGTCCCTTTTTTCACCTTGCTTTGCAGCTCTGTGCCCGTCAAAACCCGTAGAAGTGCTCAAATAATGAATACTATTTTAAGTCTTACGATATAAACTATTTTAAGCCTTCCTAAGAAAATGAAACGGTACTTCGGAATGGTGGACAAACTGCAGAGGAATCTTTCAATTCTGCAGCTATGAAAGATATTTGGGTCAAAGTGCATGTCCAGTGTCCAGTTTACGATCTGAAAAAAAGGCTGAAAACACTGGCGATTTAAGTACAAAAACATAGTAAAAGAAACAAAAAAGGGGCATATTAACAAGAAAGCTGTCTGTTTCCATGGAAATTCACAAGGATTCCTGACATGATGCCTTGAATCCAAGGACACTGTAATGAAGGAATAAAAGATTTTCCCATTGGTTTTCTATTCCTAAACACAGCAGTGCATTGCACAGGTCGTGGGTGAAATTTGTCTCCTTTTTGTCTTAGTCATGCCACGGCTCAGCTGTGAATGAGGGAGTCCACACTTGTATGAGGAATCATGCATGCTGAAGAGTAGCCTACAATCCCTTTAATCCAGGCTAAAGGTCAAAGAGCGGATTAAAGGAGAGCAATCTGAGATCACTGGTCATTTGGTCCATCTAGTTTGGTAGTTTGTAGTTAATCGTTCCAGAAACTCATCCAGCCATGTCTTGAAAGAAGCCAGGGTATTGTCTTCAACAAAAGAGATGCATAGCTTGTTCCATAATCTCTTTTGGGGAAAAGAAGTGCCCCCTGCACCTCCACATTAGTTTTCACTTGTGTCCTCTACTGTTTCACTGTTGTTTCTGCAGGGTTGCCTTTGTCAGTGCATTTGAGAATTGAGAATACTTGGGTTCTGTTAGCGTTTCCTCTGTCCAAGACTAAAATGGTTCAGTTCCTCCAGTCTTGTCAGTGGAATTCATCTGGTTGCTCCTCTCCCGAATGATTCCATTCTATAATGTGGAGACCACATTGTACACTATATATAAATGAAGCTGTACTAATGAGCTTATACACTTTTAAAAGATTGTCCTTTGATTTGGATTCAACAGGTCAAACTGTATATACACTAACATTTTGTTTGCCTTTTTAATTGCTTTCCCACTGGACAATTCCATTGGATTGGTTCATCAGCTTGTTCTGCAATCACCACCGGACACAGCTACATTTAGTGTGCAACACTTGGACTGACAACATTAAATCTGCTTCAGGTTTTGCAGGTATTCATTGCCATTTACAGAGGTTTTGATAAGTTAAAAGCCAGCAATGTACTGCTATCAAAGCATGCAATGGAACAACACCTAGTATTACCTTAAGTGATCACAAAGGCTATATACATCATATTGTACATCGTTTTGTGGCAGAATCTCAAACAGAACAACACAGCAAATTCCCAATCTTTTTTTAAAATGATACTTTAGGTCACAAGCATTGAACCGACAAAAAACAACTTACTATAAAGGTAAACAAAGATGTTCTTTGTAATGTTGAAGACTGTCCTATAGCAAAATGTCAGATCTGTCCAATTTCTGTAACTCATATTTTTTTAAAAACTTTGACGTATGCATCAAGTGACAAGAACAAAGTAATTGTTGTTTAAGCTGGGCCACTGTGGTATAAAACTGCCCTGCAGATTTAATCATTAGGGTGGTAAAACTGAAACGTGGGTCAACCATCTTCAACTGACAGTTATTCAAATACCATTTTAGAAGATGTGGTAATCAGATAGGAACGGCAAGCCACAGCCAGGATAAGAAACGCATGATTAAATATTGCTCAGCTTTCCCTCAATATGAACCCCAGGATGCCATTAAAACATCAGTTCCTGCATCAAGAGCAGAAGCTTTTGGCATACGGCACTGGTCACTCTTGCTATGTAACTGTGTACCTAAAAGAGCTTGGGAACAAACAAATAGCCAATATGATTAGACCCTAGCTTTGTGATCACCTCAGATGACTTAAGAAAGATAAAGAGATTGCAAAAACAAGAAAGCAAATTGGAACCAATTACCCAGCACTAAATTAATCAGACTGTTTGTGA